AAGATCTTCATGGGCCTTATCCCCTATGACCAGAGTGGCTTCATCAACGCCACGTGGTGGGTTATCACCAACTGCAAGCAGGCAATGGGCCCAGGGGGTGTCAATGCAGGCCTGGGTCTAGATCATCAGCAAGCTCCTGGCCTGAACCAGCATCTTGGAGTGGGAGGAGCCCAGACCTGAACCCAACAGTTGCTCCAAGAGTTGTCTGTCATCCCACATCTACGTGAAGCATGGTGAGATCCTGAGGATTGAGCAGTGGCTGCAGAGATTGTTCATGCAACTCATCTGACAGCAGCTGCTGACCACCCTGGGGCTACTGTTCCAAACTCCCTCCTGGTGCAGTGCCACTTCAGCAAGGGCCTGGCCTGTGCTGGATCATGGACAATGGAGTCGCCCGCTGCGTGCCCTTTGCCTACAAGGCCTTGTCGGGAAAGATCTTCATCAGCCTCATCCCTCACCACCAGAGCGGCTTCCTCAATGGCATCCACCACATCCTTACCAACCAGCACCTGGTCCTGCAGCCAGGAGCAGCAGCAGGGAGGGATAGAGACAGGGGTAGCAGCCCTCTTGGGCCCGGTCTCCAGGAGCCATGGAGAAGGCCCACTGCAAACTGGTCAGAGGCTTCTGAGCAGGAACCCTGTGGAGTGCAGTTGCCCAGTGCAGTGGAGGATGGCAGGCTTCCTGAGGCACATCCAACAACGGTCTCCCTCTTTGTGTGTTTTCCCAATAAAACCTTTTAACAATAAAATTTTTAAAAAGAACATCAGAACTGGACCTCACAATCTGGGTTCGAATTCTGCCACTGCCACTTGCCAAATGGGTAAATGTTGGTGGGTTACCTAATCCTGCTGTGCCTGTAAATTGTGGACAACAGCACCCACCATGTGAGGTTGATGTGAGGATTAAACCGATGCTTGGACTTGTTTCAAGCTGGCATGGAGTGAATGATTGGTAAATGTTTAAAAACGAGATTATAGCTGGAGAAATGTACCCTTAGATTTCTCACAATGGTGCCAATGAGCAACATCATGTTAAATATAGAAAATATTGAAGTTCTCAAGGCTTTTCCTTTACTTGGATCCACAATTGACACCCATGGAAGCAAACCAGAACTCAATCAGCATATTACATGGGCAAATCTGCTGCAAAAGACCTCTTTAAAGTGTTAAAAAACTAAGATGTCACCTTGAGGACTAATGTGCTCCTGACCCAAATCTTGGTATTTTCAACCACCTCATGTACATGTGAAAGCTGGACAATAAATAAGGAAGTCTGGAGAAGAATCAATGCATTTGAATGATGGTTTTGGTGAAGAATATCATATATACCAGGGACTGCCAGAAGGATCAAGTCTGTCTTGGAAGAAGTACAGTCAGAATGTGAGACTCCATCTCAGATACTTTGGACATGTTATCAGGAGGAACCCGTCCCTGGAGGAGGACATTATGTTTGATAAAGTAGAGGGTCAGCAAAAAAGAGGAAGACCCCTAGTGAGATGTATTGATGCAGCGGCTGTAACAATGGGCTTAAACAGCAATGGCTGCGAGGATGGCAGGGGAGCACGCAATGTGACTCTCTGGTGTACCCAGGAGTGCCACAGATTGGAACTGACTAGACAGCACCTAACAACAACGCACTTAAAATATGTGTGCTTTTCTACACACCATATGTGTGAATAAAATGTTAAAACAAAACAAAGACACTGGCTGTGTTTGTCAGTCTCTGAATATATTTAGCGCCAGTGATTCTCTTGCTAAAGTGGGTTGGAGGTAGGGGTGGGACATATTGCCACACTGCAAAATGTGACCTTGGAACTATTACGTATTTAGAGCTTTGATGCTTTTCTGTTCTTTCCTGCATCCTCTCTGACCTCTTCTAAAGGTTCACCGAAAGAAAGGACTGCTCACTTCCCATCCTTGAGCTGACAAAATGGTGACACAGGGATGACTTTTGTTTTGGTTTAGTCTCTGCAGTTTTTACATTGTCATGAAAACACACAGATGCTGGTAATTTTCAAGCAAAACAACTAAAGAAATGGAGCTGTGCACCAGCATGGGGTACAAAACAGATTCACAGGAGGCGCAATGACTAGCAGCTTTCTTGAACAGCATAAATAGAACGGAATGGCCAATTTTATAATTAGCTGGGAATCTCCAGTTAAGCGTCTGCTCAGGGAAAATGGCCAAGCTGTTGCCTGGAGAGAGGCCTGTGTGGTCTGCTTCTTCCTTAAAGCATCGGTGGGTGGACTTGAGATTTCTTTGTTTTACTACACTTGAGTATGTTTCAGAATGGATTGTTGAGAGCTCCGGATTTGAGCTTAGAGTGTGGGATATTTGGGGAAAAGTCACAAGGCAGGGTCTATGGATAAAGTGCCAGCAGGGCAGGTCCAGTGCAAAACTAACGTGGGCCCGTGGTTCACGTTATTAAGAATTTCAGGATGGCAACAGCAGAGCTTTAAACAAGTGCAGTAGTGGTGGTGTGCTGGTGAGTTGGTTCTAACTCATAGCAACACTGTACACAGTTTCCAAGGACATAAATCATTATGGGAGCAGAAAGCCTCATCTTTCTCCCAAGGAGCGGATGGATGGTGAATTCAAACTGCTGACCTTACAGTTAGTAGCCTAATGTGTAACCCATTATGCCACCAGAGTGCCTCAAACCAAGTGTAGGCTTTCCTAATTGCAGACCGTGTGGGACAACAAGGAGTCCTGGTGAGTGTATAGTGGTTACTCACTTGGCTGCTAACCCTAAGTGTTGGTGGCTCAAACCCACAGCTACTCTGTGGGAGGAAGATATGGTAGCTTGCTTCCAAAAAGATTGCAGCCTTGAACAGCCTATGAGGCAGTTTAGTTTTTCTTGGTTTGGGTGCAACTGCATCCAGTCCCAGGGGGTGCCAACAGTTAATACACTTGCTGCTAACCGAAAGGTTAGAGGTTCAAGTCTACCCAGAAACACTCACCCTAGAAGGAAGGTCTGGTGCTCTACTTCTGAATAACCAGCCATTGAAAACCCAATGGAGCACAGTTCTACTCTGACATACCTGGGGTCGCTATGAGTGGGAATTGACTTACTTCAGCCCCATTGTCGTCAAGGGCTCCCCAATTCAAGTGTGTGCCTGATGATAAGACTCCCTCCGGCTCTGTGTCTCTTGATTGAACAGCTGAGAGAGAGTGATTAGCTCACATGAGGGATAAGACCTCTGAAATTGGTACTTTGGTCTATTTGACTCCAGCAAGGAAGGTGAGGAAAGAGGTATTCACATGCTATAAAGAGGAAAACTCAGGGCTGTGGGAGTCAGATTCACAAATAAGGACGTATGAGTGAGATAGTACACATTTCTGGGAAATCTTGGATGAGGTCAGTTAGATGCTGTGCTATAATTTATTTCCTCACCTGTCCTGGGCTTAATTGCCTCTTATTCGTGCCTCTACCATTGTTATTATCATGTGTTGTCAAGTCACTTCCAATTCATAGGGACCCTATAGGTCCCAGTAGACCTGCCCCATAGGGAGCCCTGGGAGTCCTGGTGTGCCCCTCTGTACGGTGAGCACTGGACTGCTAACCACAAGGCTGGCAGCTCAAATCCACCAAGCTGCTCCTTGGAAACCCTATACAGGGTCAGAACTGAGTCAACAGCACTTAGCAACAACCTTTACAAGGGATGCCTGGTATTTCTGTGAGATAAGCACTCGACTACTAGCCACCAGTCAGCAATGCAAATCCACCAGCTGCTCTTTGGAGAAAGATGAGACTTTTTATTTCTGTAACGATTCACAGCCATAGAAACCCTATGTTGTTGTTGTGAAGTGCCATCGAGTTGGTTCCGACCCATAGCGACCCTGTACAGGGTTTCCGAGGGTGTAAATCTTTACGGGAGTAGAAAGCCTCATCTTTCTCCCGCGGAGCGGCTGGTAGTTTCGAACTGCTGGCCTTAAGGTTCGCAGCCCGATTCGTAACCACTACGCTACCAGAAACCCTATGCAGGATCACTATGAATTGGAAACTCAATGACACTTAACAACAACAGCCCTTACAAGAGTAGGTCACCAGGTCTTTTCTTCCTTAGAGGCACTGGTGGGTTCGAACTGCCAGCATTTTGGATAACAGATGAATGCTTAACCACTGCATCACCAAGTTTCCTTATAGGTGTCAAACTTTGCTCTCCATGACTGAGAAAGTGGTCACATATACAACAGTGTCATTTGTTTCCAAGCGATTCTGCAAAAGGTATAGGTAGAAAGTCGCTTTGCTGATGTTGAACCAACAAAAGCATGACTTAACAAAGGCATTGGACAGAACAATGATTGGCTCACATGGAGAAGAGATCAACTTCAACAAAATCAGCTTCAACAGTGAGCATTGGTCTCCCATGGCATTGGTCTCCCGATGCAGGGCTGGTGATCTGTGCACAACCCTCTTCAGTGGCAATAGAAAGACCCCATTCTCTCCCTGCTGTGTTGTTGTTGTTGTTGTTGTTGTTAGGTGCTGTTGAGTTGATACCGACTCATAGCGATCCTATGCACAACAAAACAAAACCCTGTCTGGTCCTGTGCCAACCTTACAATTGTTGCTACGCTTGAACCCATTGCAGCTGCCACTGTGCCAACCCATCTTGTTGAATGTGTATAGATACAGAAGTGAGGGTGAACAGGTGCCATATGACATGGAAGATGAACAGAGCAAAGGAAATTTACTGTGTACCCAGACCAGGCTGGAGACTATCAAGAGAAAGAACTGGCAATGAGACAAAGAGAGAAAGTCTCGTTTCCAGAGTCCATTATCAGAGAATTGTTTGGTCCCAAGGCTTTTGATAAGGTGGCCTTGGTGAGAGGCACAGAGGCTACCACTAACCAGGAGAGACTTGGAGCATGTCCTTACTCTTGAGAAGCAAGCTTGGGAAGCTCTTTCCACAATCATCGCTGGGGAGCACAGAGCATCAGGACAGGCCCCATCCTCATCATATTTTGCCTGACTCCCTCCTTCCTCCCCACTCCTTACAGCTCCGGCCCCTCCTCAGGCCAAATGAATCTGCTTTCCTGGAAAAAAACCCAGCCACACCCTGCTCATGGCTCACCTTCTCGGCTGTCCCTAGATGGCTTCTGGGTGGAGGTGGAGCAGATCCAGCAGCAGGATGAACAGAAAGAAAAAGACAGCAACAGGGGCGAAGGCCAGCCCCTTGAGGGTGAGGATCCCTGGCTGGGATCTGCGGGGTGGGTGGGAGAAATATAAGCAGGTCCTCACAGAAACAGGATGTGAACAGTCTTTGCTTCTTGTAGTACCTTCCTCACCGGTGTCCTTTACTCCTATGCTTCACAAAAAGTCAAAATTAGATTTGAGACATAAACATATGAATTATATTACTTGTTTTATTTAATTAATTCTTTCAGCACTTATTTATACAGAGCTTAATTTCTGCCAGGCACTTGGGATACAGCAGTGAACACAAAACAAAGTCTGTTTTCTTGTGGAACTTACAATCTGGTAGAATGCTAATAAGCCCTTTGCTCAAAGTTCTTAAGTACCACCCATCTTTCTCAGAGTAATAGACAACCATGTGTCCCCATTACGTATCGCTGCGTAACAACAATCTACTCCCAAATTCAGAATAATTTAATAACTACCCCTTATTATTATTATTACATCCCACTGCTCTGGGGATTGGCTGGGCTGGCTCAGGTTCTTTCATGAAGTTAGATAGTCAGTGGAGTCATCTCAAAGGATTCCCACTCATGTATCTGGTGGTTGATGTGACTTTTGGCTGATCCTCATGTGGGCTGTTGAGTAGAACACCTACATGTGGTCTCTACATGTGACTTGGGCTTCCTTACACCATGGCTGCTGGGTAGCAGGAACAAGAATCACAAGTAATAGAGAGCTAGGAAGAAGCTGCAGTATCGTCTATGATTTAGCTTTGGAAGTCAAGCAGCATCACAGGAGAGAGGAATGAGAGTCAGAGGCTTTGTGGGCACATTGTCAGTTCACCCCCTCACAGCCTGTGGGCCATGCCCCCTCTCCCTCATACCCTTCTACTCTGTCTTTCTCTCTCTCCATTCTTGCCACTCTGACCTGCTTGCTGGTCCTGGACCATATGAGCAAGTGCTTTGTCCTCACTGTTCCTGTTTCCTGGAATGCTCTCCCCAAGGTGCCTGATGACTCAAATGTCACCTTCCCAGAGAAATTCTCACCAGCTTCCCTCTCTAAAATGGCACCCCTGGCCTCATTATTCTCTAGCCCCTTGTCGTGCCTTAGTGTTACACACTTCTCACTGTCTGGTGCAATACAGGGCACGTACCTATACATCTGTCCATGTCCCCTACTAGCATGTAAGTTCCATGAAGCCAGAGATGCTGTCAGTCCTTCCACTGGCCCATCCTCGGTCTCTAGAGCAGGCCCAGCACATTGGAGCATTCCATGTGTACCTGTTCATGTGGGCAGCTGTGCTAGTCCATGGTTAAGGAGCCCTGGTGGCATAGTGGGTTTGGCACTGGGCTGCTAACTGAAAGGTCAGCAGTTCAAACCCACCAGCCACTCCAAGGGAAAGATGAAGTAGTCTGCTTCCGTAAGGATTTAAAGCCTTGGAGTGGTTCTGCTTTGTCTATAGGGTCACTGTGAGTCGGAACTGATTTGATGGCTGTGGGTTTGGGAAGTCCAGGGTGACAGAATAAACCAAATGAAAGCTCGTAAGAGCCTGCCAGTCTATTGCAGTGTTTCCAAAAAGTGCCACGACCATTCCTGGTGATACCAGAGAGGGTTGTTAGGAGGCATCATGATGCAGCCATAAACCTAAGTTCAGAGATTACGATCAGGACAGGAAAAGGGAAAACCTCTTTGGCCAAGTCAACAGAGAGGAGCAGTTTCAGACTTACTGGGCACCGAACCTCTGCATAGTATGGAGACCAAGACTGCTAATATAGTCTTTATTTTTCCATTTACTTCTACTGATGGCAAGTGATGTTGGATGCTCTATGTGTGGTCAGGATATTGTTTCCTTTTAAAATAGATTTGTTTCAGTAACCACCTTGTATAGATTTGTTTCATAGCCACCTTGGGTAGGGGTCATAAAGGAGCCCTGGTAGCACAGTGGGATAAGCACTGGATTACTAACACAAAGTTAGCAGTTCAAACCCACCAGCTGTTCTGCAGGAGAAAAGATGAAACTTTCTACTCCCATAAATATCCATAAACCCTATACAGGGTCACTATTAGTCAGAGTCTGACTTATTTACACAACTGAGGCTGCTATTAAAGCAGGTCTCTTGTTTTTTTTGCTTTTTTATTAAACCCTGAGAAAGAACGTTGTTAACTAACTTGGTCAGCACTGAGCATCACTAAGAATGCTGTTGTGGTTGTTAGGTGCCATCAAGTCAGTCCCAGTTGATAGTGGCCCTCTGCACAACAGAATGAAACACTGCCTGGTCCTGTGCCATCCTCACATCTATTGTTACACTTTAGCCCATTGCTACTGTCACTCTGTCAATCCATCTTGTTACAGGTCTTCCTCTTTTTTGCTGACCCTCCACTTTACAAAGCATGATGTCCTTCTCCAGGGACTAGTCCCTCCTGACAACATATCCAAAGCATGAAAAACAAACTCCCACCATCCTGGCTGCACTTCTTACAGAAAGATCTGTTTGTTCTTCTGGCACTTCATGGTACTTTTAATATTTTCCCCAACTTCATAATTCAAATGCATCCATTCTTCTCTGGTCTTCCTTATTCATTGTCCAACTTTCAAGTGCGTATGAGGTGATTGAGAATACCATGACTTGGGTCAGGCTCACCTTAGTCCTCAAACCGATGTCTTTGCTTTTTAACATTTTAAAGAGGTTTTGTGCCATAGATTTGCCTAATGCAAATGTCATTTGATGTGGCGCTGTAGTATAAGCACTGGATGGCAAGGTCGGTTTGAAACGCAAGGTCGTCAATTCAAACTCACCAGCTGCTCCTCAGAAACCCAACACAGGGTTGCTATGAGTCGGAACTTAACCACTACAATAACACTTCTATGAGTCTTGATCATGGATCCAGAAAAACAAAGTCTTTGATAACTTCAATCTTTTCTGCATTTATCATGATGCTATTTATTGGTCTAGTTGTAAGGAATTTTACTTTCTTTACATTGAGGTGCAATCCATACTGAAAGTTGTAGTCTTTGATATACATGAGTAAGTATTTTAAGGCCTATTTGCTTTCAGCAAGGTTATATCATCTGTAGATCAAAGGTTGTTAATGAATCTACCTACAATAAAACCCAGTTTCTCATACACACCTTTCCTGGTTTTAAAACTATTCGGTATTCCCTGTTCTGTTCTATGTTCAGTTCCTCTTGAGCACAATTAGTGTTCTGGATTACCCATTCTTCACAATGTTATCCATAGTTTGTCATGATCTACACAGATGAAAGCCTTTGCATATCAATCAAGCACAAGAAAATACTTTTTGATTTTTTCTGCTCTCAACCAACATCCATTTGATGTTAGTAATGATATACTTTGTTCCACATTTTCTTCTGAATCTGGCTTGAATTTCTGGCATCTCCGTTTAGAAGTACTTCTGCAATCATTTTAAAATTATCTCCAGCAAACTTTTACTTGTGTGTGATATTACACCTCATTCTGTTGGGTCACCTTTCTTTGGAATGGGTAAAAATAAGGATCTCTTCCAATTAGTTGGCCAGGTGGCTGTCTTCCAAATGTCTTGGCCAAGATGAGTGAGTGCCTCCAGTGCTGCCTCAGTTTGTTGAAAGATTTCCATTTGTAGTCTGACAATTGCTGGGTGCTTGTGTTTTTGCAGTTGCCTTCAGTGTAGCTTAGATTTCTTCCTTCAGTACCATTGGTTCTTGATCATATGGTACCTCTTGAAGTGGTTAACATTGACTATTTCTTTCTTTTTTCTATGTATTCATTAAATGTGTATTTAGAATTAGCCAGCGGGACACAGTTTAGATGATCCTAATTTTGCTGGCAACATCCAAAGCATCCTAGTCAGGAGCCAGTCAAACGTAGGCCTCCTTTTCTCCATCAGGCCTAATCAAGGGGTTGATCTTAGCTACATCAATGTTACAGAGCTTCTTCACAGCTTGTTTGATCTGGTGCTTGTTGACCTTGACATCCACAATGAACACAAGTGTGTTGCTATCTCCAATCTTCTTCATGGCTGACTCAGTAGTCAGAGGGAACTTGATGATGGCACTGAGGTCAAACTTGTTTCTCCTGTGGGTGCTCTTCCAAGGATATTAGTGCTGCCTTCAGAGCCTCAGTGTCTTGGGCCACTGGATCCTCAGTGTCGTGTGGACCTTCTTTTTGTTGTGGCTGTGGAAGGACACCTTTCAGCACTGCCTTCTTGATCTTCAACACCTTTGCTTTGCTTCAGTTTGGGAGGGGGCCTGTCTTCTTTGCTTTCGGCACCATCTTCATAAAAAGTTGACCATTTCTTTTTGGTACAGTGATTCTGTGTATTCCTTTCATCCTCTTGTAATTCTTCCTGCATCTTTCAATAGTTTATCCATGGAATCCTTCAATATTTCAAGTTGAGGCTTGAATATTTCCTTCAGTTCTTTAAGCTTGAGAAGTGTTGAGCGTGTTCTTCCCTTTTGGTTTTCTGACTCCAGGTTTTTGCACATTTCATTATAATACTTGACTGTGTTTTTAGCTGTTCAGCTCTTTTTCTTCCTCGTTTCTTCCATTCGTTTAGCATCTCTACACAAAAGAGCAAGTTTCAGAATCTCTTCTGACATCCATATTTGTCTTTTTAACTTCATATCTTTTTAATGACCTTTTGTTTTCTTCCTGTATGATGTTTTTGACATCATCTCACAGTACTCATGGTTTGGTCATTAATGTCTGAGGCATCAAATCTGTTCTTGAGATGATCTCTAAATTCAGGTGGGATGTGTTCAAGGTCGTATTTTGGTTCTTGTGGACTTGTTTTCATTTTCTCCAGCTTCAGCCTGAATTTGTGTATGAGCAATTGATGGTCTGCCTTATCCTTGTTTTGGCTGATGATAGGGGGCTTTTCCACTATCTCCTCCCACTGATGTAATCAATTTGATTCCTGTGTATTCCATCTAGTGAGGTCCATGTGTATCATGGCCTTCTGTGTTGTTTTAAAAAGGTATTTGCAATGAAAAGTCAAGTCATTGATCTTGCAAAATACTATTATATGATCTCCAGCATCATTTCTAGCACCAAGACCACATTTTCTAATTACTAATCCTTCCTGTTTGTTTTCAACTTTCTCATTCCTATCACTAGTAATTATCAATGCATGTTGATTGCATGTCTGGTCACTTACTGACTGAAGAATTTGGCAGAATGTTTCTGTTTCATCGTCATTGACTTTAGTGGTTGACATGTAAATTTGAATAATAGAGGTATTAACTGGTCTTCTTTTGTAGGATTATGGATATTATCATGTCACAGACAGCATTGTACTTCAAGACAGCTCTTGAAATATTCTTTTTGATGATGAACATGATGCCATTCCTCTTCAATTTGACGACGATTGTCAGATTCAAAATGGCCAATACCAGTCCATTTCAGCTCACTAATGCCTAGGATATCAATTTTTATGCATCCATTTCATTTTTGACAACTTCCAATTTTCCTAGATTCATATTTCATACATTATGTTCCAAATATTAATGGCTATTTACAGCTGTCTCTCCTCATTTTGAGTTGTGCTCCATCAGTAAATGAAAGTCCTGAAAGCTTTACTCCATTCACATCATTGTGGTCAACTCTACTTTGAGGAGGCAGCTCTTCCCCAGTTGTATTTTGAGTCCTCTCACACGTGTGTACACCCTCAGCCCTCTCACATGTGAGTACACCTCAGTCTTCTCACATGTGTATATACCCTCAGCCCTCTCACACATGTGTACAGCCTCAGTCCTCTCACATGTGAGTATACCCTCTGTCCTCTCACACGTGTGTACACCTCAGCCCTCTCACACGTGTGTACACCTCAGCCCTTTCACATGTGTGTACACCTCAGCCCTCTCACACGTGTGTACAGCCTCAGTCCTCTCACATGTGAGTATACCCTCAACCCTCTCACACATGTGTATATATCCTCACCCTCTCACACGTGTGTACACCTCAGCCCTCTCACATGTGTGTACACCCTCAGTCCTCTCAAACGTGTGTACACCTCAGCCCTCTCACATGTGAGTATACCCTCTGTCCTCTCACACATGTGTACACCTCAGCCCTCTCACACATGTGTACAGCCTCAGTCCTCTCACATGTGAGTATACCCTCTCTCACACATGTGTATATACCCTCAGCCCTCTCACACGTGTGTACACCTCAGCCCTCTCACACGTGTGTACAGCCTCAGTCCTCTCACATGTGAGTATACCCTCAGTCCTCTCAAACATGTGTACAATCTTCTCCCTGTCCTCTTATTTTTCTCCCCTACTCAAAGTTGCAGCATTACAGGCTTAAATTTAGATACAGGCTAACGCTCATCAAATGTCCCCAAATTCTCAAAGGCCTTGTTTGTTAGATCTTCTCCTCATTGAAGAGTTTTGTTGATGTGCATGATGCTAAGGGGTCTCATGGTCAGACATGGATACTTCTTTGTCTATGTGAGTGTGATGTCTAGATGGGACTTTGGATAGTGTGTGTGGCTGAGTGTGCAGCTGTGTGTGTTCATCTGGGTGTTGTTTCTCTGTTCACAGAGGGCGAAGCCGAATCCCAGTGGCTACAGGACACAGACCTGTGGGGCCTCCTCGGGGGCCTGGGTGCGAATAGTGACCAGCAGGGGCTCTTGTCCACCCTCACACAGACACAGGTGGTTGCTGTGTGCCGCAGGTTGGACATCTGTGCCCGCTCGGCCAGAAGACGACACAAGGTACCTGTCCGAGATGTCAGGGACATCTTTGGAGTCTTCCAGTCTGGGGTAAGTGGCTGGGCTTCTGTTGCAGGGCTATGCTGGTGCACATAGACACATGTGTGTGTGGGTGACTGTGATTCCACATGCATGTGGGCCCCTGTGTTACATGTGGGTCCTTGTCTGCCTGCATATGTCACTGTGTGTTCTTGGGTGGGTCTGAAAGCTTAGGTTCTCTCTACATAATTATTAAACCAAAAAAGCCCAAACTCCTGGGAAGACACTGAAAGGAACACATGAGTTAAAGGCAACAGAGGTAACTACTGCTATATTTACAATCCTGCAATAAGGGATCTCCAGGTAGATACATGGATAGACGCACAGACTAAATGCGTCTGGGAGAAAGAATGGGAGTAAACCCACAAATAGATATAGGTTGGGCAAAAGATATGTGCTGCAAATATATCCATGATTGTGGTGTAACATACAGGGGGCAAAGTTATGGAAATTCAGACACAAATACCTGGAAAGAATGAGTCACTGGGATTGGGGATGCAGGACCCATAGTTTCAGGGACACCAAGATTGATAGGCATAACACAGTCCACAAAGATGATATTCTGCATTCTACTATGGTGAGTCTTAGAAGTTTGTGTGTGGCTATCTAAGGTGCAACTATTGCTGTATCTGTCTGGAGGAAAGAAGAGTGATGAAAATCGACAATGCAAATAATTAGTCCAACAGGCTACATGAACATCAGTCTCCAAAACCCTGACACCAGAAGAACTAGATGGTGCACAGCCACCACTACCAACTTTTCTGAAATGAATCACATTAGAAAGTCCTGGACAGAAAAATGTGGAACAAAACTTGGAATCATAAAAAAAGTGGATATCTGGTTGGATAGACACTGGTGGAAAGCCTGAAACTATGGACTTTAGTCATCATCCTTCAGGTCTAGAAATGAACCCACTCCCATGGCTAGATGTGGCACTGTGAGTTAATGTGCTGGACTGCAAAGTCATTTGAGCCACTAGGTCGCTCCTTGGAAACCCTATAGAGGGGTCACTTGGGTCGGAACTGACTCGGCGTTTAACAACAACAGTGATCTTTATGGAAGCAGATTGCCAGGCCTTTGTTTTGTGACACCGCTGGGTAGGTTCAAACTGCCAGTCCTTAGGGAAAATGAACATCAACCCAGGGGCTTTCTATACAATTATTATCAGTGATCTGATAATACTTCAAATTGTTACTAATATATTCTGCTGGCAGTGAAACCTGACAGACTGTGGTTATCTTCTTTCTTGGAACAGACTTGACTTGATTAAAATGATGGGCCTTGAAGTCAGCTCATGCCCACACTACCATTAACTAGTTACAGGAGTTTGGACAGGTGACCTCACCTCTTCAAGCTGCAGCTGCTGCCTCTGCGAAGTGGGCTGTGAATGGGACCTGTTTCCCAGGGCTCTTACATATCCCTGAGAACTGATTAGACATGGTTTATAATTTACACAGGGAGGATCATCAGAGAATGGGGACTCAGGAATGACATGGACCCCACTCAGCTCCAGGTTATCTAAGTCTCCTCCAGGTAAGTGGCCTTCACTCTCCAGGACTCTCACAGTCAGAGAATGAGCACTTTTCAAAGTATTTGCCTCATCCTGCTGGCCCCTTGCCTTTCCTGTGTGAGGACAGTGGGAAGAAGATCTGGGGAAATAAGTTGAGCTCTGGAGTAAGCCTCTAACATCAGGCTGTGGGGCCTGGACCTTGGGCAATCACTTCCTGGGTCAGTGGGCCTGATTTCCTAATCCGAGTGATTTGGGTGTTTAAGCTTAAACCCTGTGAGTTTAAGCTGAGATCCTTCATTTTAGACAGTAGCTACTAGGTGTTCAGGTCTAAGCAAGGACCCAAGTCTGGGAATCACCCTGGGCTATGGGACTATGGACTTAGGGTGAGATGTGGAGGTCCTAACTGCCTCTGTGTTCTGAACCCCCAACAGCAGTAAAGCTGGAGCAGCTGCAGGAGCAGGCTGGAAGGGTGCAAGCCTTCAGCATGGACTCTGCGTACTCGGAGCAAGTGGCAGCACTCCTGTAGAGAGGCAGGCCACTTCCAGAGGATGTCTGTGCCCAGGCCAAGGGCTCCCTGCCGGTGAGGATGCTGTTCAGAGAGTTGAAAACTAGGCCTGGACTTAAGGGACCACCCTCCTCACCCTTTTCATGGTTGTTGAATCATCCATCCATCCAATTCATACCACAGATATTTACTGCGTTACTATCAGACATCAGAGAGCTCGAGTCACAGTATTAATATTTTCAATTATGATATTCTTTGCTTTTATGCTTAGAAATTCCTCCCTCATTTATCAAACTGATTGTTGTTTATTAAGTGCCATTGAGTCAGTTCCGACTCCCAGAGTCCCTGTATAGGGTTTCTGAGAAGCAACTAGTGGGTTTGAACTGCTGACCTTATGGTTCATAGTCCACTGCTGATCCTACAGCACCACACTAGGAGTCCTAGCAAACTGATGACGCCATATATTTTTCCCCCTAGTTGTTTTTATCTATTTGAATTGATTTCAAATTCTCATTGGAGACAACCAACTTCTTAGTTTTAGGGGATTTTTTTTTCAGATGCTCAATTGTCCCAGCCAATTTCTTCAAGAATTAGGATTTTGTCATTTTATACTTAATGTGCACAAATATTTACCAGTACAGTTTGGAGAATATACCTGTACAATCACCACTAGATGGATATGAAGAACATTCCCATGTTCTCTAGGGTTCCCCCTCCCCCTTCCTCTTCCCAGTCAGCGCCTCCCACCTCTCCAAGGGACTTCTCTCCTCAGATTTAGTCTTTTCACAGTTACTAAAGGAAGAAGTTCTTCATGGACCCAACTTTCATGTGGCCTGATAATTCTGGGGAATGTTTTATTGAGTGTGTCTGTGGCACTGGCATTTTCCAGATACTTCATCTACATTGATTTGTTTCCTCCCCTCCCCTAGGAGATTGGCTTTATCATTACATCCCCACTTTACAGATTGAAAAATAAAGTGAAGCCCAAGGAAGAGAAGTGATGTGGGCAGGGGCTAGAGTTGGCTGATGCCCCAGAGCCTTCCCAACTGATCACTAGATTGCTTTCAAAACCCACCACCACCCTTCATAATAGCCTCTGTTCCAATGGAAAAGTTCTTTCATGTACTCAAATGGGATTTTCTTTTCAACTTCTTATTTTGAAGTAATTTGAAGTTCACAAGAAGTTGCAAAAATAATACAGTGTTCCCATTTACTCCCAACCATAATATCTTGTGGTGTGTAATTAATGTGCTGCACTGCAAAGTTGCTTTGAACTGCAAGGTCCGTGGTTTAAGCTCACCAGCTGCTCCTTGGAAACCCTGTACAGGGTCGCTATGGGTCAGAACCAACTCGACAGCACTTAACAATAGCAACATAATGTCTTACATAATCATGTTGTTGTTGAAGGCACCTCGGTAGCCCCATGGTGAAGTACTGAGCTGCTGCTAACTGAACTGTCAGCAATTGGAACCCAGTGCTTTGCAGAAGAAAGATGTGGCAGTCAGCATCCATAAAGACTGCAGCCCAGGAAACCCTGTAGAGCAGTTCTGTGTCCCACAGGGTCACTTTGATTAGAATCGACTCAACAGCAATGGGGTTGTTTTTGCTAGTTGCTGTTGAGTCAATTTCCACCCATGTGTGCAGAGTGGAACGACTTCATAAGGGTTTTCAAGGCTGTGACCTTTCAGGAGCAGATTGCCAGGGTTTCTGAATTACCACTGGCTGGGTTTGAAGCATCAACCTCTGGTTAGTGTCAAGAGCTTAACCATTTGCACCAGCCAGTGGCTTTACACAGTCATAGTATTCTCCCCACCAAGAAAGATTTTTTTTTCACTCCTAGAGCATTAGAGGCAATTAATTCTCAACATGATTTTGTTTCCTATCCTTAATGGTTTGAGTTCCCCAATTTAACTGTGATAATAGTTAATAATGCTAATAGCACATACAGAGCTTCATCCTGGACTAAGTACTATGCCAAGCACTTTACATTCTGTAATTTCATTCTGTTATGTTGGTGTTGGTGGTTGTTGTTAAGTGCCATCGAGTGGTTCCTCCTCATAGTTACCCTGTGTAGGGTTTCCGAGGAGCAGCTGGTGGGTTTGAACTGCTGACCTTGTGGTTTTCAGTCCAGTGCTGATCCCACAGCACCACACCAGGAGTCCTGGGGAATAATCTGGTTAAATCCTCCAGGCAACATTGAGCAATTCTGACCCACCCTTTGACAGCAGGGATGCCTAGAGCTGCCAGCAGAGCCCATTGTGACCTCTAGATGGCGCTGCTGGGTATAAGTTATTTTTCAATGGCTCTTCTATCATTCTATTATTCTATTCTATTATTGGCAAAGTGGCAGCATCAGTGGGCTCAAGCGTGGCAACAATTGTGAGGTTAGCCCAGGACAGGTCAGTGTTTTGTTCTGTTGTGCATAGGGTCCCTATGAGTGGATACTGACTCGATAGCACCTAACAACTTCTATTATATCTTTCTCATCATAAGAGTGATGAGAAGGAACACTGGAGATGTGGATGGCTTGGCTAAGGATAAGGACAGATGGGGTGAGAGAGAGTGGCTAAGGGTAAGAATAGAAGCAATGGCCCTCCTGTTGGAATGCATGCAGTAAAAGCAGCTTCCATTTATTGGGACCTTACTATGTATCTGGTACTGTGCTGGGCACTCAGTTTACCTTCACAAAAACCTTGTACAGAAAACATTATTTTGCAGTTACAGATAGGGAGTTATAGAGGCTTGGGCATGTACCAGGCAGTGAGAGGTGGCACTCAGATTAGAATCTAAGGTTGCCTGGGGGGTCTCCAGCTCCGTGTGTGCTCTGTTCTCTCTCCTTCATAAATGCCTGGCAGGGAGGGTGGTGCCTCTAAGGGCTTCTCAGGCATGTGCCTTGAGACATTGCCTTCATTCCCTCCCTAGAAGTTTAGAATCCCCAAGGGCAGACTTGGCTTGACACGGATAGGAGACTTGTCCCTGCAGGACATGAAGAAGATCTCACCACTGGTTCTCATAGAGCTGACGGCACTCTGGGACGTGCTCTGTGTGGACCTGAAGAGGAGCAAGGCAGCTAAGCAGAGAGGAACAGGTCAGCAGTCCTCCCACAGTAAGCACATGGTGGCCGAACTCCCAGCTTTCTCATCAAGGGAGCTGGTGGGAAATCTTTCACAAAAACTTGGCTGTTGTAGTGTGCTGTCTGGTTTATTCCCATTCAGAGTGAGCCCATGTGGCAGAGTTGTTGTTGTTAAGTGCTATCAAATCAGTTCCAACTCAGAGCAACCCAGTATAGGGTTTTCTAGGAGTAGCTGGTGGGTTTGAACTGCCAACCATGTGGTTCAAAGTCCAGTGCTGGTCCTATAGTGCCACACGCACATCAGGAGTCCTTATGACAGAATAGAACTGCCCGTAGGGGTTTCTGGGTTAGAAGCTTTATGGAAGCTGATACCAGGTCTTCTCTCCCTTGGGGCTGCTGTGACACTATGCCAATCCATCTCCTTGGGGGTCATCCTCTTTATCTGGAATCTCTACTCTTCTCAACATTATCCATACTTCGTCAAGGTCCACACAATCATAAGCCTTTGCATAGTCACTAAAGCACAGGTAAACATCTTTCTGGTAGACTCTGCTTTCAGCCAATATCCATCTATCTAATGTCAGCAATGATATCCCTTGTTCTACATCCTCATCTGAATCCAGCTTGAACCTCTGGCAATTCCCTGTCAACATAGTGTTATAATCATTTTTGAATTATCTTAAGCAAAATTTTACTTACATGTAATATTAATGATATTGTCCTATGATTTCTGCATTCCATTGGGCTACCTTTCTTTGGAATGAGTACAAACATGGATCTCTTCCAATCAATTGGTCAGGTAACTGTATTCCAAATTTCTTGGCATAGATGAATGAATGCCTCCAGTACTGCATCAGTTTGTTGAAAGATTTCAATTTGTATTCCACCAATTCCCAGAGCTTTACTCTTTACCAAGGCCTTCAGTGCATATTGGATTTCTTCCTTCAGTCTCATTGGCTCTTGAACATATGCTACCCCTTGAAATAGTTGAGCATCAACCATTTCTTTCTGGTACAGTGACTGTTATTCCTTCCACCTTTTGATGCTTCCCTGCATCAGTCACTATTTTGCCCAAGGAATCCTTCGGTATATCAAATCAAGGCTTGATTTTTTTTTTCTCAGTTCTTTCAGCTTGAGAAATGCTGAGCATGTTCTTCCATGTTTTTGATATTATATACAACAGAGTTACTATTCTTGTATATAGAACTTTGAAAGTATCTTAGATTCTCGTAGACTCTACTTTTTAGTTCGGTTCCTCACCGACCCCATTTTTAGTCAGTGTGTCTGTAGCACAGGGCATTTTCCAGATGTTTCTTCTGCAATGGCTTGTTTCCTCCCCTTCCCTAGGAGATGGACTCTCATTCCACCTCCACTTTTTTTTTTTTTTTTTTTAATAAGTTTTTATTTGAGTGAAAGTTTACAGGGCATATCATCAGTTTTACATTCAACAAATCGTGCACCTTGTTTCATTACAATAATTATAATCCCCTCCAGGTACCATCAGTTCATCAGTTAACAGTATTTCTCTCTATACACGTTAGCTCTTTTTTTAAGCATTCAGGCATATATAATAATTTATACCACCAAAGGGCACATTCTGCAAGTCTGCCTCCTGGCCACCAGCTCTTAGTCCCTCTCTTTCCATGACTTTAGAGTTCCACTTTTTAAAAACAGATTCATTTTAAGAGATGAAAAAGGTTAAAATGAAACCCAGAGAGAAGTGACTTGGACAGGAGACAGAGCTGCCCAGTATACCCACTCCTCACTTTCTGACATGGCTAGATTCCAGGAATCAGGTGAAAATCAGCATCATGCAAAAATGTGGATCACAGAATGGAGAATGACTATATTATTACACAATTGACAAATTATGTCATTACATAACACCAAATTACACCATTATGCAACTGCCAAATTATACCATTACACATCTGCCAAACCACTGAGAATCATGGTCCAACCAAGTTGACACATAACTTTAGCCATCACAGCCAGCATTATTCTTTACCTAGTACTCTGGTGTTAGTTGCTGCCAGATGTATGCCATTAATGCACAAAATAGTTGGATAGCTGACTTTTTACTAGGGCTGTAAATGTGAAATGTTGAAGAGCATGATAGTTGATAAGCGAGGAGTAGGTGCATACAGTAGCATGCACCATCTCACTACTTCTTTGTCCATATTGTGTATTGGTGACTTAATTTTTTTCTTTATTCAAAATTAAGAGTAAAAAATGACTGAAGGAGGAACAAACAAGATGGCGGATCGGGTGGATGTATAGCAGAGAGCTCCGCCAACAACAACACAGAATACCCGACCAAGCAGGTTCAGGGGATGGTCCCAGAACTCTGAACC